GAGCCCTGCGGGTGGGGGAAGGGCACAGACAGGATAAGGGGGCCAGGGCCAAGGCTGCGACTACAAATGGGGGTGGGTCTGAAGCTGGGAACTGAGCTGTGGCCAGGGACTGAGGCTGAGGCCGGGAGTCCCAGCTGGGGCCAGGAGTGGAGCTGCAGCCAGAACCAGCACTGTGGCAGAGCTGGAGGCAGAGGGGCTAGGTGCGCTCCTGCCTGCAGGCCATGCCATCCCCTGCCCCAGGTTTGGGACCACTGCTTTATATTATAATTGGAATGGCTTAAAGCTGCCTATGTTGACAGTAGTTACCTAACAGCTGCCCAGTCACCTACATCAAAAACTATAGCTCAGTCCAAGTTCTCTGTAGAAAGGTAACCGAATCCAGGTTAACATTTATAAGTTCTGGTTCAAGATGTAGAATAGAACAGTGGCTTCCAAACTTTTTTTTATTTGCGGACCCCTAAATAATTTCAAATGGAGGTATAGACCCTTTTCAAATCTATTGTCAGTATATATAGTTGAATTCTGTTCAATCACTTTTCAGCTTAAGCCTTTCACAGACCCCTGAAACAACTCCACGGACCACTGGTTGAGAAATACCGGAATAGAGGTTCTGGCCTATTGTTTTTCCCAGCTCCTCCCACTTCTGATATTTTTCTTGCAGTCTCCCACCCCTAACTGTTTTTAGTTATGTTAATTATCTTACCACATGGCTTAGGAGAAATAACTGGAAGTTAAGGTTTATCGTCTGCAACTTAGATTCAGACCTGGGTATTGCAGAGACTGCCCTATAGATTGTCCTTTCTGGGAAACTGATTAATATAAAGAGTTCACATTACATCTGACAGCTGCCTTCTAAGCTGTTGACTGTAAGTTGGTGTTGGCTTGACTATGATCATAGGCTCTTGCTGAACATTTCCAGGTGTATTGGAGCAATTGCTCATCAGCCCCAAGAGCTCTTATTCATTATACTTCTCAGACATCCATCTTGTTTATCCAGATGCTCAATGAGTGCATTAGACAATGGGAAGGGTTAATAAGAAGGCATGGTCTGAGGTGTAAATTCACTTTAAAAATACAGTATTTGAAATTCATTAATTTTACATTCACATTTCATGTGACCTGTTTTCTGAATACATAAAATATCAAAATTCATAAAGTGAATAATTCAACTTCACTGAAAAAGGAGTCAGCTCTAAAAAAAGGGAGTGTGGCTGACACAACCAAGTATTTCATACTGACCTAGGATTTTGACTGCCTCTCCATTTCCCACCGTACCTAGGCTATAAGCACCTCCCAGGAAAATAAGATTGGCGTAGCATGATCCCTATGAGATTTCATTAAGTCTTTTGCTCTCCTCCTTTCTCAGAATATAGGAAACTGTTTGCAATAGGTTTTATTTTGTAAGATGGGAGTGGCAACTGTTGTAAACGTTGTTATAGCTGTGGTGGAAAATCTTTAATCAGAGAGAAAGCTTCTGCAATATGATCTAAAAGGTATCAGACTCTGGATTAGATTTCAATGCTCCTGAATGCTGAGAAGATATGATAACTGGCCCTGTGGATATGTGGAAAGCGGTGGACATGATATATCTTGACTTTAGAAAAGCTTTTGATAGTTTCCCACAATATTCTTGCCAGCAAGTTAAAAAAGGTATGGATTGGATGAATGGACTGTAAGGTGGATAGAAAGCTGTCAAGATCATCGGACCCAAAGGGGAGTGATCAACGGCTCGATGTCTAGTTGGCAGCCAGTATCTAGTGGAATGCCCCAGGGGTCCGACCTGGGGACCGTTTTGTTCAACATCTTCATTAATAATCTGGACGATGGGATGGATTGCACCCTCAGCAAGTTCGCGGATGACACTAAACTGAGGGAGAGATAGATATGCTGGAGGGTAGGGATAGGGTCCAGAGTGACCTACACCAATTGGAGGATTGGGCCAAAAGAAATCTGATGGACAAGTGCAGAGTCCTGCACTTAGGATGGAAGAATCCCATGCACTGCTACAGGCTGGGGACCGACTGGCTAAGCAGGAGTTCCACAGAAAAGGACCTGGGAATTACAGTGGATGAGAAGCTGGATATGAGCCAACAGTGTGTTCTTGTTGCCAAGAAGGCTAATGGCATATTGGGCTGCATTAGTAGGAGCGTTGCCAGCAGATCAAAGGAAGTGATTATTCCCCTCTATTTGGCACTGGTGAGGCCACATCTGGAGTATTGCGTCCAGTTTTGGGCTCCCCACTATAGAAAGGATGTGGACAAATTGGAGTCCAGCAGAGGGCAACAAAAATGACTAGGGGCTGTGGCATATAAAATTTGTGAGGAGAGGCTGAGGGAACTGGGCTTATTTAGTCTGCAGAGGAGAAGAGTGAGGGGGGATTGGATAGCAGCCTTCAAGTACCTGAAGCGGGGTTCCAAAGAGGATGGAGCTTGGCTGTTCTCAGTGGTGGCAGATGACAGAACAAGAAGTAGTGGTCTCAAGTTGCAGTGGGGGAGGTCTAGGTCGGATATTAGGAAAAACTATTTCATTAGGAGGGTGGTGAAGCACTGGAATGGGTTATCTAGGGAGGTGGTAGAATCTCCATCCTTAGGGCTTTGTCAAGCCAGGCCTTAGAAACCTCTGGCTGGGATGATTTAGTTGGGGAAGGTCCTGCTTTGAGTAGAGGGCTGGACTAGATGACCTCCTGAGGTCTCTTCCAACCATAATCTTCTGATTCTAATGCTCTTTCCACAGGCAGATTCCCATGACCAAGCATTCCTTATAATCAACTCTTCTGTGTCTTGTTCTGGGCTTTGGTGGACTTCGTCCCAGAAGAACAGAACTAATTTGACTATCATAAATGGTGATGTGGTCTCTAGCTGTAGATGGTGCTTGACATGGTTCATCATACATAAAGGGTTCATATTTAAGAAACATGGGGTAGATAGGAAAGATGTACATAAGCAAAACCTTTATATTTCTAATGACACTATGTATTAAGAATTCAGACCTCACTGATTTTTTGAAACAAAATCAACTAATCAACCTAATTATTACAGCACTTTAATCTGATTTAAAACTGGTAACTTTCAGTATTTACACAATATTGGGTCACTTGATGCAATTTGGCTGGCATAATTTATGTTCCGCACACACCTAAATACTCCCCATTGAACATGATAGTCTTTACTTTGTGTCAATATATTGTAAATTGTTGCTGTGTGAAGTTAAACCACTCATGCATATCACATCACCTTGAGAAGTGGCTGCATTTCCATGGTGGGTGAAGAAATTCTTCTGTATCAACTGTGTATAACACAGAGTTCCTTTAAGGCACCAATACCAAGATCCAAAGTGACAATTCTTAACCACGTGAATTCAAATTAGTTTTCTCTGAAAATTTACATACCAATCCCACTTTAGGAACAGGCTGGGTTCTCAAACATACCTTCAAGGAGCAAGACTGCATGATGTTTTCTATCTCTAATTTCTAAAATAACCTAAGCTACTAAATTACTTGATAAAAGCCTATTGGAGCATTCATATTTGGATTTTTAAGAATAAAAACTGTATTTGTCTTACCTGTTTCATGATCACAGACTATTTATGTTAAAAATACTAAAAAATTAGAGTTCTCAAAATATAAGAAATTAAAGACCGGAGTCTGTAAAGCATTGGGCCTTGAATCTTTTAGATTTAAGCTCTGACAGCAGAAATTGATGCCTCGCTTTTATGGAAAAATAATGGACTAGAATTCCTTATGTTCCCTCAATTTTGGCTGTACATTGTAGTCTTATCTGCAAGCATAGCCCCCAGAGTTTGTACACAGCATCACTGAGATTAACAGGACTTTGCAATGGCAAGAAGATGTTGATGAAAGATACGGCCTTGCATGTCCCGAGTTGCAGACACCTTTGCTTAAATTACATTTTAGCATCAGGTGCTTTTGAAATAAAAACCCAAATGAATAATGTACGCTACAAGCATAAATTTGCTCTTGCATCACCCACTTTGCATACTTATTTGAAAGAATATTGTCAAGAGATTTTTTTTTTCAAATTTTCCTTTATTTACCAGTAACTCCTGGAAGATTAAAACTGAATAGCGTTTTCCTTGTGGTGTCACCATGTTAGCAACCATTTTACTGTATGGATGCTAACAGGTGCAGGGGGGACGAAAGAGCAATGAAGCAGCAAAAGCACACAAAGAATTATACTGACATGCTGAACAGATAAGAAAATAAAGGTGTCACATTTTGAGTCTGATTCTTGAGTGTACTTTTAAACAAAATGTGCACAGTAAATACAATTTACTGTAAAACAATGAAATGCAAATCAACCAAAAAGAAAACTTACAATTAATTGTATAGGCAATGAGCTTTAAAGGATTTCATAAAAACAGACCCAACTGAGCTTCATATAAAAAGGGAACATAAGCCTCAATTAGCAACCCTACCAGGGAAAGTTGTTGTTTCTCCCCTCATCTATGATTTTACATTAAAAAAAGGGATAGGAACACTATTTACAGATATTTGAGTCCATCATACTATATTAACAGTTCTCAACTGTATTTTTAGTATTGCTTGGCATCAGATTATGCTTTCACAAACACAGTGTGAATGTCTTACATAATCAACTTTCATATCTTAGTAGGAAAAGATAACTGTTCCTGTATTTCAGAAGCCTTTGTGGGATCAAGAGATGAAGTTATTTTTTAATTTTGGATGGAGTGGAATGCAAATTCCGTATGAGAGCTTTATGCAATCTGCTTTATAGTCATCAAAAAAAGTCTCTTGACCACCTATCTTAATTATAAATGGTATTAACACCTTTGAAGGTCAAGGAATTGTAGCCATTTACTTGCAATTCAAACTGTATGACCTGGCTTTCTGCCAGAAAGAGAATACTTACTGGTCTGTCAATACATACATACTTTCAGTGTTTACTGAATCTAATTTGATGAATGCGGATGGAGATGGAAACAAGAAATGATACCTATTTGAGATTTGTTTTTCATTACAGGAACTTCTGGGTCCCACATGGAAAAACTTCACTGCAATTCTATTTACGCACGCAGATAAGGTAGAAGAGGCAGGATTAAATGGAGACCAATACTTTCATATTGCCTCAGATGCCCTGTTAAACCTTTTGAGCTCAGTACAACAGAGATACATTTTTGTAGACAACCAGGCAAACACACTCCAACAGGAAAGAAAAACAATCTTAAGAAAAATCATGGAATTTATAAGAAAAAATAGTTACCAAGTGCTTCTAGTTAAATAAATGCATGGTGACAAACACAAATTACCTCTCACGTACTCATTTACTGACAGCCATCTTCTTTTCTACTTTGGGATAAAATGACATGCAGAGAAGAGGACTCTAGCAGCCAGCACTAAATGTGTGGCGTATTCATGCCCAAATCAACATTTGCATTTCACTTTTCATAAAATAGATTAAAACCGTTTAGACTACCAAATTAGCTACCATAAACATCTATAGTATGCCTACCACCCTACTATCTAACAGCCATTATCACACCAGATCACAGATTCAGGTTGAATTCTGGACAGTATCTCTATCACTGTGTTTACTGATATTACACCACAGGCCATCACATTTTATATTGTAGCTCACAAAGAGCAGGTTACTGAGCATAAAATAAGAATACATTCTCAATGATTGTAGTGCTGTTGTGCATTATTGAATAGCTACCACATCCTACGTCAATTGGTGGCATTTCAGATTTTTTTTTGCATTTGATTCTGCACTATTTACTAAGACAGAAGCACATAGTTTGCAAAGACCCTTCAGATCTTACAGGCTGAAAGTCTCATACTGTAATCTATTTTTCCCCACTGTGCTTCATAATGAATCCTAATTTAAACAGTTTTAACTTCTTAAAGAATATCAGACCTTGTTGGCTGAGTAGATTATAAGGCAGTTTAAATAGCTCCCATGTTTTGAAGATTATTCAGAGTATTTGGAAGAACTAATTATTGCTGCTAGTTCCCAGATGCATGCACAATTAGTACTGTGGGGGTATATCTACAAAGCACATCTAAAAAAATGTGTGTTACTCTCTCCTTTGTGCTTGTCTCTTTTAATTTTATATCATTGTCATTTTGTTGTTTTCCTGTCTTACTGGATGACGTTCAAAATCTGGAAAATTCAGAGACTGAGAAATTTATTATTTCAGTGGTTAGACAATAGATGGACAGTAAATGAAACACAAACTCTTGGAAGTATATTTAAACAGTTATTGGGGATTTGAAAAGGTTAGTTGTGAATTGATATAGTGCTGCCATTCTCAGCTCATGACTTTATATTAATTGTGGCTACTTCCTTTTAACATGTGATGCAGTGAAATAGCTTATTTTAAAGTGTAAAAATAAAATTAGCTGTTCCTGTTACAGTAAAGTATGTGATTCTGTATACAATGTATGTCTGAAGAAATTTCATGTAGAAGTTAAAACACCAAAATGGATTCACTTGATTTTTGTTTCATGCATCAGTACAGTACTAAAATTTAACTAAAATTAATTTCCTTGGTCAGAGTCCATTCTTCATTTATGATTTATGGGTCTGATCTGCCAGACCCACTTCAGTTAAATTGGCAGTCTCTGCTTAGGAGCAGCCAAAAACTACATGGGCAGAGGACTATGACATATCATGAGGGGAACAGAGTTCCACCTATCCACTCTCAGATCACTGACTCTACACTACCTGAATACCTGGCATTAGGGACCTTTCTCTATGAGGGCCCCTGGTTCCTGAGTAATTTTGTGGGTCATAGAGGTTCTCAATCTATCTACCATTGTGGGCCGCATCCAGTACTACTTGTATCGCCCTGAGGATGTCACATGGGCCGCAGCTCAGTGCTAATTGGGCCGCAAGTGGACCATGGGCTGCAGGTTGAGAACCACTTTAGAGTGTAGAGTACTTCTCCATCCCTTTCTAAACTAAGCCCAAATATCCTCAGTATCTGCACCCCTTATTCCACTGAAACAGGCTCAAGCATTTAGTTAATAACTATGCACATTATTTAATTAGTTCATATCTTTGGAGAAAAAGAGATCAAAGAAAAATGAATCAATCATGCCTTGGGGGGAATATATTCATGTCTTTATTGTGCTTGCACAGCTTTCCATTTAAGCCTTTGAACAGTTTCTCAGTAAGTGGTTTTATTTATTTGATTCCACTGCTGGCCATCGTCTGAGCCCTGCAGACCCCTTTCCCCTTCACTTCAAATGGAACTCCTTTGTATGTAGCAATGCATTGGTCATTAGTATGAAGGTCAGGTTGGATCTGCTCCCAGATCTTCTTCTTGGGATTAAGTTCCTTCTCAGGTTCTCCTGTTTAAATAAATAAATAAAAACAAGTAACAGACATGAAACAAAAGGAAGAGTATGGGCTGTATGTATGTGTGAGATAGAGTGTAGTAACATTTTCCTTTGAGAATTTATTTGAAGTGATATTGGCTGCCAAAAAATTATCACTTCATCAAGCCTCAGAGTGAAAATTGTCAAGATCATAAATCTTAATTGTGTTTTTTGGGTTGGGTACTTTCTGATCCTTACTTGATAGTACTGTAGGTCCCTGGAAAAGAAAGTTTTATATAGCTAGCTATAATACATAATCACAAAGAGGTAACAGTATGCTGTGTAAGCACTGGGATTACAAAGGAAAAAGGGGAAAAAAATTTTATTTAATGATTTTGAGATATGTCAGAAACACAAAGTAAATATTGAACATAGGAACACATTGTCCAGAGAGGCTTAGGCTCATCTACAGCACTGGGCAGTGAAGTTTTAATTATTTGTTGTAGACAGTGTAGGCACATGAAATTTGTACTGAGTAAATGTGAAAGGCACGTGGACAATCTACAACTGTAAACGTTATACCTGTTCAAAATATTCCTCCTGTTTGCATTTCTTGCCTGACCATTTAAAAAATGACAAGGGAACCAAAAAATTAACCTGAATAAATTCCTCTGTTGCCAGTTTAAAGATGATTTATACTGAATGAACTGCTGTGTGCCAACATCATCTTTCATGATATAAATAAAGCATGACAATCAATTCATTGTACCATTTATTTTCCTTTGCAAAGACCAAATGGATTTCAGATCTCCTAAAGTAAAACAAGACTCCGTCATTTAGCCACAATGCCTTAGGGTGTTTTTAACCCTTTTTATGTGATTCATGTTAGTAGACTGAAGAGCACAAGGGAAATTATAAACACTTCCACTGGGTTAGGGCCCAGTTTAATAATAAATAGCCTCCAGGGGAATTAATGCCATTTCACTGTCAATATTTCAACTTGCTAAGAGTTTCAATTCAGCCCAGTTATTGCACATACAATTAAAATGTTATGTTTCAAAATTCACAGCACATATCTACTTTATTGGGAAAAAATTATATCCCCAAAAGGTAGGACAACAGCCAGTGTACTAGGAACTAACATGACTCATCAAATCAACAAGCTGCGCTCTACTTAAGGGGAAACTGCTATGTTCTCTGTAGTAACATACTTCAGTGATGAGCATTCTCGTGTTCTCATTCCATCCCCTCTATTCAGTCCTTGCCAGCCCAGGAAGAAGCTCTTGAGAAAGACTTCAGCAAACTCAGTCAGGAAGATGTTTTAAGACAATAAGATTCTTTTTCCTGACTGGTTAACCAACGGGTCTATTATTAACATTAGCCAATAACAGCTACATACTACTTAGTTGTGATGGCGAGATAAAATTATCTTGTACATGCATTAAGGTTCTTACTGGCTTACATCAGGAACATTCATTAAGCAAAAGAATAATAATAGAGGGTCCCAAAATGCATAAGGAAGGGAAAAAACAAGCAATTGTCCTCAGATGGATGAGTGGACAGCTGCCATTCCAACACTGCCAGCTAATGTTTGTCATTTAGACACTTCAGAAGACCGGGTGCTCAGCTTGTGTACCCTTGGTGATAATTATAAAGAAAAGTTACTTCAGCCTGGTTCTGACTCTAACTTCCATAGCTTTTTTTTTTTTTTTTTTAAATGGGCTTCCACTGCAGGCCAACTTCTCTGTTGAATAGGTTGGCCTGCGACAGCGCCAAGATTCAATGTATCAGTCAGAAATTATTTCTCACAAATGGAGCACTTAACTACGTCAATGTCTTAACACTTGTAGAACTAATTGTATGATTTAAAAAAAAAAAATATCTAGAACACTGTCCTGTACTAAATTCACAAAAAGTCATTCCTTTATACCAAAATGGATACATACCAACTAAATAAAGTTATTAAGCAGAATAGCTGCTAAACAATTGTACTGTTCAGAAGGTGAAATCTACCTTGTTTCCTCCCCCCACCCCTCCAATATTACAAAAAGCAAATGAATTTTTCGAGGATAAACTAAAATCTGACTTTTATTACACAAACGCTTTCTGGATCTTATTAAGAGTGTCTTTGGAATCCCAAGTTGAGCTCTCCTGGGATCTGTGGTGAGCTTGTATTAGATTAGCACAGGCACCACTTTTAAACATTACCAGAGCCTCTCCTGTACCCTGCCGCTTTGCATCCCTTTCTCTCATAAGACAAATAATCCTTTGAAAGGATATCTAAAAATAAAATGGAGTAAAATTATGGCCACAATGATTTTCCCACCCTCTTCTTATGGATGTGAAACATGCTGAATCTGCCAAAGAACCAAATGAAATGTATCAAACTGTACAAGTGCTATCAAAGTATTAAAAACCTAAGATAAAAATAATAATGCCACCGAGTGGTCTTGTCAAAGCAGTCTGTATCATTATCCCCAGTTTAGAGATAGGGAAACTGAGGCATAGAAAATTAATGTAACTTGCCCAAGATCACCCAGCAGAAAGTGGCAGAGCCGGGAACAGAATCTAGGGCTTCTGATTGCCAGTTGAGTATTCTATCCGCAAGGCAACACTACAACAAGAGAGAAGCCAGTTGGCCATGCACTGTAATTGTGGTAGAGAGATCTTTCCATCCCATCATAGCTCAGTGATTTGCATTAGACTATATCTTAGGGTTTTATAATGCTGCCATCATCACAGCACTTAGGTGCAAAGAAGGTAAGGAAAGTATGATCCAGTACCTTGAAGCAATTTAACAGAAATATAGATTAATTTACCACTGGGGAGAAAAATCTAGGACGGAAGATAGAGCTTACAACAATGGTGTTAGTTTCTTATCACTAGGAGAGGTAACTGAGCAAAAGTGGAAAGCATCCACACACCAACGTTTTGAATAAAGGAAGTTGTTTATACAGCCTATCCACTGCACAGCAGGTTTAGAATAATATGAATTTCTCTTGTAACTGGTGAACCATCAATTGAAACATCAACTGTTTTAGACCAAAATTAGCATTTGAACCATACACCTCAAGTGACAAATTTGTGGTTGCTGCAGCATTTCTCCACCCTATTTTTCTTTTAAAAGCTTGTATTGTACTGTTACAGAGAAGGGAGGATTTTATTGCAAATTTTGTAACTATTAAAAATGGCTGTGTGTGTGAAATGGGGTGGAGGAGAAGGGACTGTCTGTATGTGTGTGGAAACTTCTGCTATGACCTTCATCAAGCAGGTGATTTCACTAAAGTAGAATGGAAACTTTATGAAGTTCTTAATATGAAAAAGACCCTTTCAAAGTTGCAATTTCTTGTGGTTTTGGGTATGAAACGTGTAAGACTACTTTCTCATTTTTGTGAAGTAAAATTTAATTACAGTTATTAATAGTGACTGCATAGCCCAATGTCCCTTAGCAAGATATTCTCTACAAATACAGAAAGAGGGGAATTTGAGGAAATTCTCCAGTTTCTACAGGGAAAAAAATTTGTAAATTGTAAACGTTATTAGATCGGAAATGGCTAATGTTCATGACAACTAAAATGAACATGGAAAGTTACCCAGTGCCGCCCCCCCAAATTCCCCTTCATCATATACAGTATCAGTCTGTTATTTTTAACCATGAGTCCATTCTGCTTGACTTGGGACAGCTGGATCTGCTTTGGGGTTGTTTTTTTGTTGTTGCCGCTGCTGCTACATAAGCTTTCAGTCTTCAAATTAAAATCAGACCCAGCTGTCCTTTCTATTTTAATTTCAGTGACTCAAACTGAATGTTCATTGTTTAAACTACTCACTTAAAATCTATCAGTGTTTAAAATTATTATAACTAGTCTTGGAAATTAAAATGAATTTGAAATAAATAATGTGAGTTCCATGTTCCTGGTACTGCTATTTTTGAACTGCTTGGTTAGCTTTGCTTTTAAGAAAGCAGTGGCTCAGCCAACCTTGAGATTTTGGTATACAAAAGCTAAGTAGGAGATTTAGACACACATCTCCCATTAATGTTAATGGAAAATGAGTTTAAATCTCCTGCTCAGCTTTTCAATATCTCAACATAAATTTCTTTCCAAAATCAAAATATTTCATTTTAAAAACAGTTGAGGTTTGAAAAAGGGTACCAAAAATCTGCAAAATCACTGCATTGCTTGGATATACATAAGGAGATAAATTATATCAATTTGGGTCTTTTTTGTTAAAAATCTGAATGACTAATAATTGGTAACATTCACATTTTAGGTTTTAATGACAGTCTTTAAAATTTAGGTTCAGAACATACATTATGTGTAAATTACAGTTTTGAACAGCTGCTAATTACTGCCATTAGACAATGAATTTAAAACAGCAAAGAACTGAGTGCTGATTTTATCAATGATGCAAGATGACACTGGGTTAGGGAACCTTCTTAAAAGTTGTAAAATCCATCAGGAATTAATTGATGTCTGAAACAGCCACACATGTACAAGCAACTATCACATTGATAAAGACAAAGCAACCAATCGCTGAATAATCCCCAGCACTCATTTAGAATGATTAAAGATTGAACATTGCTTACATTGTGTTTGGTTATCCTTATGCAATCTTCTAACGACCAGAGCAGTGGTTCTCAACCACTCATAGGTGTACCCCTAGAGATACACAGAGGTCTTCCAAGGGGTACATCAACTCATCTAGATATTTGCCTAGTTTTATAACAGGCTACGTAAAAAGCACTAGCAAAGTCAGTGTAAACTAAAATTTCATACAGTGACTATGTATACTATGCACTGAAATGTAAGTACAATATTTATATTCCAATTGATTTATTTTATAATTATATGGTAAACATGAGAAAGTCAGCAATTTTTCAGTAATAGTGTGGTGTGACACTTTTGTATTTTTATGCCTGATTTTGTAAGCAAGTAGTTTTTAAGTGAAGTGAAACTCGGAGAATGCAAGACAAATCGGATTCCTGTAATGGGTACAATAGTCTGGAAAGGTTGAGAGCCACCGGACCAGAGGAC